GCAGTCATTACTATTAATATTACTATTGTACTTTTTTTAGTTTTATATTTTTGTATTAAGTTATGTTCATTTTTTTTTTAGACGTGATGCTATTGCACACATAATAGACTACACTATAGTGTAAACATAACTTTTCTATGCACTGGGAAACCAAAAAATGTGTGACGTGCTTTATTGCAGTATTTGCTTTATTGCCGTTGTTTAGAACCATATCTGCAATAATTCCGAAGTATGCCTGTGCTTTTCTGCCTCCTTATGCTTCAGTTTTATTATCTTCTCACCCATCTTTGAGTTTACTAATCCTCCCTTCACATTTGTCTAATCTTATGTTAAACCCATAAAATTGAATTCTTAATTGCACTTGTTACATACTTTCATTCTATAATTTCCTTATACTTTTAAAATAATAGTTGTTAGTTCTCTGCCAGAATTCTTTTGCTTCTCATAGTCGTTGAACATCCAGTTAATTATGTTAAGGTCTTTGTGTGTTAGCCTCAGCATCTGGTTCTCTTGTGGCTTTTTTTCTCATCTGTTTTTTTGCCTAATTTTTGGTCAGGTCTCATCTTGCACACATGATATTTTTGATTGAGTGGTAGACTTTGTGTACAAAAAATTTGTAGAGATAATTTGATGCTCTAGATGATTTTTTAATTTTTTTTATTGAGTTATAGTCATTTTACAATGTTGTGTCAATTTCCAGTGTAGAGCACAATTTTTCAGTTATACATGAACATATATATATTCATTGTTGCATTTTTTTTTCGCTAGTGAGCTACCACAAGATCTTGTATATATTTCCCTGTGCTATACAAGGAAATGTATAATGGTTTTATTATTCTTTCAAAGAGGATTTCTTTTTGCTTCTGACAAGCAGTCGAGCTATTGTCAAATTACATTCATTCAGTCAAGAATGCAGTGATTGGAAGCTGGGCTTCAGTTTTTGAGAGGCTTATTTCTTTTTCTGGTCATTTTGTCTCTAGGCTGTTTTTATTTGGGACCCTTCCAAAAGTCTAGGGTGTTTAACATGGACTCGACTCTATATTAGGCTCAAAATTCTACATTTTTTTTTCTTCTAGCTCTCTGACAGTAATTGAAACATTGCTCAACCTCTCACCCTCTTTCACTTTCAGAATCAGCTATCATTTATATGAGAAAAGCAATTTTAGTACCAGACTCAAATCTCTTGATTACTGTCCTCTTTTAAAACTTTGCCCTGCAAATTACCACTATTTGAGCTCTCTCTTGCCTTCAAACAGGTTCTTTAAAAATATTTTGTTTAGCCTTTCCATTTGTTCCAGTTGGGAACATAGAGGTTCAGAATAACAACTCTACTCAGAAACAGAACTCCTTTTAACCCATTAGTGTATTTTATGTTATATTTGACATGTACAAAGTAATATATATATAACATTTATGGAGCTTGTTTTATAATAATATAGTGAACACTCATGAACTGTTAGCTCCAGGTTTTGTTACTTTCCAAACTTTTCTTCCTGTTTCTTTCCTGCGCCAAGTAACCACTTTGTTGAATTTTGGATTTGTTATTCTCTAACTAAAACAGATCATCACTTTACCATATATTTATCTTAAACAACGTCCTTGTTTACTTTTACTTGTTCTTAAAGTTTATAAGAGTTATAATACACTATATATAGTCTTGGGTAACTTGATTTTATCATTACACACTTGTTTTTTGGAATAATTCTTGTTATTAAATCTAGCTGTAGTTCATTCATGTATTACTCTGCCTTATATCATTCTCTGAAGTATCTCATAATTTATTCTCTTAATGAATATTTGAAATATTTCCGTTTCGTTCCTCTTTTGACAGTGCCCTTCTGAGTGTTCTTGTAGAAGCCTCCTGATACATATGCACATGTATTTCTTTGGTTACAGTCACACGAGTGAAACTGATGAACATTAGTGTGTAAACATTTAACTTTTCATTTTATTACTGAATTATTCTTCAAGATAGTTTTAAAACTTACTTTCTTTTCAGTAGTGTGTATCACCTGTTATTGTCAGATTTCTCGATTTTTGCCAATCTAATAGATAAAAAATAGTGTCTCAGTGTAGTCTTAATTTACATTTTCCTGGTTACTAATAAAGTTTATTTGTCTAGTCATTCATGTTGCCTCCTTTCTGAAATTCCTTTTGATGTCTTTGGCCTTTTTTTCCCTTGGGTTGTCTGTTTTTCGTAGGTAATCCTTAAACTCGTTAATATTTTTTCAGCTACATGTTGAAGTACCTTCATAAAATGCATAAAATCTCATTTATGGTATGTCTTTTTACTCCCTTCATGGTGTACTTTGAACAAAAGTTATTAATTTTAAACGTAGTAAATTTATCATTCTTTTCTTTTGTGGTTAACGCTTTTTATGTCTTGTTTAAGAAATCATTCCCTATGCCAGTGTCATAAAAATAGTCTCCCATATGTTGTTCAGAAAGTTTTAAGGTTTTCTTTTCACACATGAAAATTTTAATCCATCTGGAATTGATATGTTTGTTTGCTTTTTTAATGCTGTGACTTAAGGATTCCATTTCTTTTTATTCTCCATTAGGATAACTAGCTTTCCCAGCAGAATTTCCTGAAGGATCTTTCCTTCTTCGCGTTGTCTGCAGTGCTGCCACTCATATCATGTGCAGCCTCTGTTCTTTTTCATTGCTTTGTTTGCTTATCTACAAGATGTCTTTAGGTCAAGTTTTATTTTCTCATAAAGAAAATTTTTAAATTCCTCTTACACAACTTTGTTAGGTGCTTCAGTTTTTAAAATTATGTTTAATGTTTGTGGTTGATTTGAGGAATTATTTTGTAGTTTTAGTTTTATATCCTCCTGTCTTGCTAAACTCTTCTCTTTACTTTTAATCAAAACTATGAGGAATGCCAGTTTTGATTATTTTCTTATCCTTGAATATTTTATCTCTGTATTTCTTTATATTTGTACATATGTTTTCTTAGATTTTTTTCATTGCAATTTTGTCTGTCAATTTTTGAAAGCGGTATATTCAAGTCTTCTGTGATGATGATGTTTTTGATATTTCCTCTTTTTTAAAAATCATTTTTGTTTTGGCTTATTCTGATATATTCTGCTAGTTGTACAAATGTTCGTGTATTTTGTCTTATAATGTAAGATTAAAGAAAAGTATGTCAATATCCTGTTTACATCAGTATCCCATTTAATGCTTTTCATCTTGACTGGTATATTTGTCCATCCTGTTTTAGATTTTCTCTGTCATTGGTTTTGTTGCATCTGTTGTGGTTTTATTTTATTATTTTTTAACCTATCTGACTGACTGTTGATCTTACTTACAGATAACTTTTTTTTTCTATCTGTAAAGGTTTATGCTGATTGAATTTTTCTTTTTAATTACATATTTTAGTGGAATGCATTTTTGAATAATTGTTTCAGAATGGCTTGTAATTTGGAAACTCTCTCTCTGTCTTGAATACTAGAATTCTATTTTTCAAGTTACTTAGCTGCAGAAAATTCAGAACTTTGGTTTTTGGCATCTAGTCTTGCCGCCAAGATGTCTGAAGTTGATCTGGTCCTTGTTCCTTTTTTTGGTACATTCCCCCCTGGAAGCGTTTGGATTTTTTGGATACTGTTACTTCAGAAATTTCATCAGTTATGTTTCTAATATGATTCTTTTCTCATTGTTTCCACTTCATCTTCTGAAAGCACTTCTCAACTGAAGAATTGATTTTTCAGCTATGTGAACACAGTTCTGTGTGTTTGGGGAGTTTGCCTTCTGGATATTTGGGCTACCTATCCTGTTGCCAGAGAGTTACCTGAGGTGCTGTTTGATTTCTGTAGTCTGCCTCTTAGAAATCACTCATGTCAAGTGGAGGTAAAAATGTGATCTCCAGTATTCTAGGATTGGGTTCTGCTTTTTTGTCACCTTAATTTCCTGGCTGCTACTGCAAATTCACATCTCTTGATATCAGTTTATCATCTGAGGGTTATATTCTGTAATTATGCTGAAAAAAATGACACTTTGGAGGGTGTTTCCTTCTGTCCTTTTATGGAGATGTAAGCTCTCTAGCTCTGTTAATTTCTTTTCTGTATATTTTTGTTATTCAAATTTTTCCTATGGTTTTGGTTTTCTTTCAGACCCCTTTTGTTTTCCAGCCTGGCTAACTGGGATGTGTGTGTGTGTGTGTGTGTGTGTATGTTACCATTTTGGTCAGATTAGGTAGGAATATACTACTGTGTGTTTTCTGTTACTTCAGCTGCAAAACTGTATAATTTTTCCCTGCTCAAGATTTTTTGCATCTACCTATCCCTTTGTTTAAGAATGGCAGCTGACCCTTGAGCAACATGGGGGTTAAAGGTGCCAGCCTTTAGCGTAGTGGAAATTCTAGAATAGTTTATAGTCAACCCTCTGAATGAGGTTCCTCCCTATCCAAGGGGCGTCCACTATTCAACCAACTGTGGATTGTACATTACTGTAGTATGTGTGTATTTAAAAATCCACACATAATTGGACCTGTACAGTTCAAATTTGTCTTGTTCAAGAGTCGATTGTAAGCTTTTTGGCTCCATTGATTTTTATCCTAGTCCTTGCCAGCTGCCTTAAATAACTGAAACATTAATCTTAAAGGGGGAGAGGGTGATGAGTAAGGAAGTATATTTAAGTGGTTAAAGTCAGTCCTACCTCACACCTAGAAAGAACCAACTGATTATGGAGGTATATGGTGTATATATGGTGCTGGTGAAGACGTACCTTTCAGCCTTTTTGAGTGAGTAACAGAAAACATAGTCATATATAATGACTGTCACTGCAGAAGATAAAGATTTCATTCATTTTCTAAATAGTTAAACAGGAGAATTTGTATTTATGTTTTTTTTTACATTTTTTTTGATTCATAATCATTTTACAGTGTTGTGTCAAATTCCAGTGTTCAGCACAATTTTTAAGTCATTCATGGACATATACACACTCATTGTCACATTTTTTCTCTGTGTATTTATGTTTTAAAGTCCTTAATTTTTGTTTAGCTTCCAGGAAAAAAGACAACTAAACTTTGGGTTCCAGATGAAGAAGTTTCACCTGAGACAATGGTCAAAGTGAGTGATGTGCATAGATCTGTTGATTTTAATATATTTAATATACTGTATTAGTTTTACAGGGGTTAAAATACGTATTTTTGTTATAGTTTCAGCTATTAAAATCAATCAAGTTTTTATATTTATTGTATGACGTTATCCTCTGTGTTGTGAAAGTGTAGGGCAATGATGGGAAACCTGAGGCCTGTGGACAGCTACACACAATATAGTTTGAAAAGAAAAAAAGAGTTTGAAAACTTCCTCCATGTTGCTGCTTCCAAGATATTAGCCTTTTAATGGCAGAAGACAGTGCTGCTTTTATTATGTACCTTCTCCTGTTGAGTAAAAATGGTCATCCAGGTTTTAAGACGATTCATCTTTTCCATGAGATTTGATAAACCTTTTATTTTGATTTTTTTAATTCAACCTCTTATTCCTTGAGTTTAGGAGTTACACATAAAAGATTGCTCATCACTAGTATAGACAGCATTACTTTACTAAAACCATCTGTAGTCTATAATGTATACCTCATCTTAATCCACTGCCCAGAGTTTGAAGACCAGGAACAAATATATTAAATATTGTTTTTTTCTAATTGTAATTTCTTGTAAGTCATTTCAGGATGTGTGTGTGTTTGTTTATATTTTATATTATGAACTACTTTGTCACATAATTACAGCTTCAGATTCTGATAACTCTCCCTGTAGACTTGGAGGGCAGCCTTTCCTTTAGCATCTTTGATTGATGCTTGATGCTTTTGAGTTCCAGTATAAACCTGTTTTCTCAGCATTGGCCTCCAGCAGCAGTTTTCTATGGTTGAGCAACACTGCACTAGAAGGCAGGCTGCCTGCACTTAAGTTCATGCTTACAAAGTGGCCCAGAAAAGGGATCTTAAGAGTGTCAGATACATACCACTACCCATTTAGCTCCTGAGCCTCCAATCTGTAAAAAATTATGATATGTGAAAAAGAGATAATATGCACCATTTCGAAAATGGTTGTTGCACACATTATAGGCAGTAACAGGTTTTAAAGTGTTTAAGTACTTCATAATTATAAAATGTGTTACAAATACAAGGTGATATCATTGCTCAGGCACAAAAGATTGAATATAATTTGCTCTTGGGAAACTTTCTGACTAGAGAAGCTAGCATGATTTTTCTGTAGGTTCTAGAGGATAGAGTGTATGCTAGGGAAATACTGGAAAAAAAAAAAGCAAAAACAACCAGTTTTTAGATAAGTCATTCATTTGTCAGTTGCTTAGGGAGTGAGACATCTTTAATTTAAAACATATGCAGAAAATAATAATTCTTCTTTTCTTTTCTAAAAAAGCATCCATTATAAAAACATTTATTCATTTTTTAAGGCTGATACAGAATTTCTTTAAATTATAACAATGTTTTATTTGTCAATTTGTATTTTAAATAGATTCAGGCTATTAAAATGATGGTTCGATGGCTACTTGGAATGAAAAATAATCACAGTAAATCAGGAACTTCTACTTTAAGATTGCTCACAACGATATTGCATAGTGATGGAGACTTGACAGAACAGGGGAAAATTAGGTATGTAATTACTGCCTTAGAGTTCTTTAGATTGCACAGTATTTCAGCACCTTGTGTGATTGTTAATGGTGGTTTCTTTTTTAAAAAATATGTAGTATTATTTTGAAGGTATGTTATATTTTTATTATAATATGACTGTATAGTTAGTTACTTCAAAATGGCCATACATATGTCTGGTGCAGGGTACTGCTGTATACTCGAAATATTTTGAACAATAGATGTTTACTTTTTTTATTATCTAATGTGAAAATGTTAGTGTACCAATCAATAACTGATGTTATACATTCTGGTTAATATCTAAAGGAAAAAGGATGGACTGGATAGAAGGCAGCTTATTGAATCTATTTCTAGAAGTATAAATATATGCAAATTTTAAAAAGTGTACTTGATTCCAATTATTTGAAACACACATACTTTTGTTTGTTTGATTTGAAAGTTTTAAGTATAGTATAGTGATTGAAAACAAGGACTCTGGAGCCCAGATTCAAATCGTGGCACCATCACTTACTAGCTAGGTGGCCTTCAGCAAGTTACTTGAACCTCTCTGTACCTCAGTTTTCTCATCTATTAAAACAGAGATGATGATGATACCTATTTCTTCTAGCTATTATGATAATCAAGTAAGTTGGTATATTTAATGTATTTTTTTAAAGCACTGCCCAGCACAGAGTGATCAGAGGTATTGATGGTGGTAGTGGTTATTATGTCAAGGTTGGCTAAAATTTAGACATTTTTCCAGTTTGAAAACACAAGTGCCATTTATTGCCTCTTATTAGTAATAAAAAATGAGTGTAACTTTTCCCCCTTAGTATATCCAACTTTCTTTAAGACAAAATATAACCAGTGACTACCAGCTGCTTTGTCTCTTTCCATCCTGTTTTGCTCATCCTGTATTTTTTGTGTAGGATGGTAACAGTAGTAGCACATTTTTCTCAAACAAATCAAATAAAAAGAAAACTTTGAAAACCATGTGTAATTCATTTATTTACCTTCTTTCAGTTTAATTAGTTGTCTTCCCCTTCTACTTTGTAATTTATGTGCTAGCGTTCAGGATTTATATAATTGGAGAAAAAAATTTCCTTAGTATTAATACATTTTGACTATTAAACTTGTTAATTGCATTATTTATGTGCCTATTTAGATCTCATCTCACCTGTTTTTATTCTTAGTGTTTAACAAAATCAAATGTGTACTTGAATTCTACAAATGAATGTGAATTGTATTTGTTCTGCATTGCTAAGCAAGACTTTATATAGAAACCTGATCTTCAAAACATAGTTGTAAAGCGTCTAATTATAACTATTTTTTTATTTATACTAAATAAACTGCAACAGGAAAATCAGACCTTCCTTAGCAGTGGTTGAGTGATTTACCTTATAATAACTACTTGGAATATTACTATTGGTAAACTAAAAAAGCACCTCTAGGACATGTAACTTCAGAACTGTATTAATGCTGGTGTGCATTCAGTCAGTATTTTTACATAATCCTTCAAAAGGTAAAGGAAGAGACTTAAACCAAGTGAACCATTAGATCTTAGAAGACTAAGACTTGCCTTTAAGTCCCTCTCAGTACTGTACATATGATAGACGCATATTTGTTGTATGAGCATTAAATAATGGCGCTTTACTATGGACATAGGGGGTCCTAATTAAGGAGTTATAACTTTCCCTCACATTAGTCCAGGATCCCTATAATTTTTTTCAAGATCCCTGTAATTCATGTAATATGTCACTATATTAGGAAGGATTGATTAGATATATTAACCAATCAAGAATTTCCTAATTGTCGAAGTATGTCCCATTTAGCAAAAAATTTTCTTTCCTTAAACTTAAAAAGAGGCTCTTAGTAATATTTTAAAACTTGAATTCTAGCTAAAAATAGGAGTGTTTTATCCACTACACCTGTTTTCTTCTTTTGTACTTAGCACCATAGTTTTTGTTGACAGATTAGCAGGTTGTAGAACATTTGTATGCATAATCTATAAGTAAACACATTTATCAAAAAAAAAAAAAACAACCCATAGTGGAAGTCTTAGAATCGAACAACTAAACGTACAGATAGATTTGCTCTAGGCTTGGCTAAAAGCTATTTTGTGTAGACAGAGAATTAAATGACTAGCATAGACTGATGTTCAGGAGAAGAATTTTGTAGTATTAGATACCATCTTCTAAAAGTTAAGTAAACATAATATGGTTTTCAATATCAAATTGTTTCCTACCCCCCCTTTTTTCTGTCAGAGGAATTTTTATAAAATTAGATATACAAAGTAGGAATGTTTTTGTGTAGACAGTTAGAAATCTAACTTACATTCTTCCTTGCTTATTTTTCAGTAAACCAGATATGTCACGCCTGAGACTTGCTGCTGGGAGTGCTATTGTGAAGCTGGCACAAGAACCCTGTTACCATGAAATTATCACATTAGAACAGTATCAGCTATGTGCGTTAGCTATCAATGTAAGGAAAATGGCTGTGTAGAACATGACTTTGTTTGGTCTTTGACTTTTAGGAAGAAAAAGTCCACCATGATACAGAGATAAAAATCATGAATGTTTGTGTCTCCTTTTGGAAAATTTATATATGAGACCATTTCAGAGTTGTAAAACTGTCATTTGAGTTTTGGGTTGCTAACATAGTACAATTAGTTCTCGTTACTTGCAGTAGTTCTGTTCTATGAAGTCACCCCAAGCACTGAATAAGCCAATATTCAACCAGTGCTCACAGGGACATTAACACTGAACTCATGTCCAGCAGCACTGTAACTCATGCCTGCAGAAAGCTAATGTGACACGTATTTTCTCCATAAGGCACATCACAGCCTTCTTGCTCTTAGGAACACTAACCAGCACTTCAGCACTATGCTTAGGAGCTATTTTAAACAACAAAATAACCAACAAAAAGTACAGAATTGTGAGAAATGTGGCACTAAATAGACTACCAAAAGGACACTTGTTAATGAGAGTTGAAACAGTAAGGGAGAACATTGCCCTGTGTGACCTCAGCCAGCACACATGTCAGGCAACTCAAATTTTTGCTGCTCGCAAATGACCATGGAAGTGCAGCAAGTAGTGTTTGGGGTTTACAGATAAGTTTTAGTGAATAGGTGAATTCACAAATTTATAATGTGTGAATAATAAGGATTGAATGGATTAGTTCTTGAAAGAAAATGTGTAGATATTTATAGTTTTATAAAGACATGGTATAGGTTAATTTTACGTCAAAGGCATTCTTTATTACTCAGAGAGTTAGAATTTTAAATTATTAACAGTGCTACTAATGGATTCATACTCCAGCCTTGTGGATTTCATATTAGAGTGCTATAATATTTATTGCTTTACAAGTTTTTAGCATAACTAAGAAAATTAAAGAAAAAGAACTTTTATAATAGTAAATACGATATTCCATTATGGATTTTTCATTTATAATTTAGTTATTTTACACTTAGTTTTCCTGTTCTTTTCCGTGCAATCTAATTTATAAGAATTTGGCATTTATTTCAGGGATTTTAATTTTTCTCTCCACTCCTCTCTTCCTTCTGTTGCTTGTTGCTGCATATGTATAACCCCTAGACATAAACAATCATCTGTTTTTAAATTGTAATCATTTTGCCAATTTCTGGTACTTCAGGCTTTAAAACAGCTATTCCAAATCCTGTTTATTATGATTTATTTTAATTTTGGTGTTGTTATTCAGATATTATACAATTGGAAGAATAACATTGGGAGAACCCATAATTTCCCTGTTTAGTCTTCCCCTTTAATTTTGGAGAAAATCTTACTTTGCAATAAAGTAATAATTGTCTTAAAAGTATATATTAAGTTTCTTAGCAAACAGCCTATGTAATTACTGTTTTCCAATTGGCAGTACCTGCAGTTGATTTATCAGATTCTTGGTTTAGCATTTCTTAAGGTATTGGTGCTGTCAGTTGTGAAGTAGAAATTTAAGAAAAAAGGAAGAAAGTATGGAAATATGCCCAAAGAGATGGGCTTTGTTTGAAACTCCTTAAGTATAATAAGTACGCGCACATCATTGGTTTAATGTCCACTATGTACAAAAAGCATGCACACTGGCCAGCTTTTGGAGGCTTTCTTGTCTAGCACACTATTTGTTATATATTATTACCTCAGTCACCAAATTCCCAAGGTGAAAGTTCAGATTGCCTGAGTTTAAAGATTGTTTTGGAATTCTGTTGACTATGGAACATGTGTTAGTGATTAAAAGTTAATTATTAGCACATTCTCACAACTTACAAACCTATGAGGTTATCATATTCTAAACAAAACTTTTCCTAATTCTGCTACTGCTTTAAACCATACACCCATCTCTTCTTTTTAAACTTCGAAACCTCAAGAAAGAGTAATCTCTTTACCTCTTATCCTCTCATTCCTCATCTTTTGGCATTTGCCTTTACTGTTTTCTGAAAATGCTCTATTAAAGTCCCCAGATCCAATGATCTTAATCTTCATGGTACATGTCCTTTTTGCATCATTTGACACAACTCATTGTGCCTTTATTCTAGAAACGCTCATCTTTGGTCTTTGTTTCCTGATTGTTGTCATATTTCTCTGACTACATTTTCTGGCCCTTCTCTTCTCCTTTAAAGATATGTTCTGTGAGGATTTGTTCATGACCAACTTTTCCACTTGCACATTCTTGTTTGGCCATGTCATTTTCTATTCTTCTTTGGCCATGTAACTCCTATTCTAGCAACATTAACTTTTCTTTTCAAGTCTCTGGTCCAATGCTAAACAGAAATTTCAAACTTTCATGTATTGTTAATGTAGGACCAAATGCATACTCTATTCTTTTCTGACATGTAGAACCTCACAGTAAGCATCAAATAAATATGAATGTCATTTCTTCGATCTAAAAACATAATTTACATTTGACCATTTGCTTGCACTTAACCTTGCTGCAAAAGTGCAGATTATTAATACATACCATCTTAACCATACTTCCTGCTGGAACCCTCATTAGCTCTCACCTATACTATTGTCAGACTTTCTCTTTCGTTGACTACATTTCCATATTACAGTTCTGATCATGTTATTCCCCTGGTCAAAAATACGTAGAGGCTTATACTCCTAAGAAAGAAAAAAATCACATCTATTTTATAACTTGCCATACAAGCCCCTCTAATATTTGGACGCAGATATACATCTTAAAATTTTGTTTAGCACACTACCCCCTACGTACTCTCATTTCTGTGAATCTGAGCAATTTTTTTTTCTTTTATGTACTTGTGGTTTGCTGCCTCTAGTTTTCTTCTCACCTCTCATTTCTACACATCCAGATCCAATCCTTTCTGCAAATCAACGCTCAGATGCAATCTTCTCCACAAAACTTAGTTATTCTTGTAGCTGGTCTCCTTTTGATCCCCTACAGATTTTACCTGTAGTCCTCTGATACATACATGACTTGTGCTTAGATATTTATATGCCTGTGGTTTATTTTTCTTAACTTGAGTTGAACTCTTTAAAAGCAATATTGTATCTCAGAAGCCTTACCATGCATTTGAGTAGAAAGTAAATCTGGAGGGATAGAAACTCAATAATATGAATCATAAAATTATTTAATAATTGCTTAGGTGTTTTAGAATTTGACTGCAGTTCTTTAAAAATTCACTATGTACTGCTATGTGCTGTGCATTGTTTTGGGTTCTATAAATACAAAGATGAATCATGGCTACAACCCTCAAGAAGATAATAACCTCTTAGGAGAACAGAAAATATAAATAAGTACTAGTAATACAGTGCAATACAGAAATAATTGAACTATTTACAGGATAGTAGAAGTAGTTCTGAGGAATAATTTGTACTTTAAAAGGCCACTGAAAGTGAATTTATTTAAGATTCAGATGAAAATTGATTTCTTAGTAGTGAATGAAAGCTTTGATTATCTAGGGGGAAAATATTTTGTAGTATTAGACATCTTATTTATGTTGAACCAGTTATTGGCTATAACTATAAACATGAAAAAGTATCAAGTGTTTGCTTTTTTAAGAGTGTATTTTTCCTGATAAAAATTTTATCACTCTGTCCTTTACTTCACATTTTTTAACCTAGTTGAAAGGGTAAATCTTTGCAAAAAAACTATAAATGAAATAAACATTAGGAGACTTCCTCAGTTCCCAGGAGAAAGCTTTTAAATCTCTATTCAGATGAGTCTCTTCTAATGTTCCCGTTGTGTCGTTATTCTTGTCAGTTTTCTCGTCTTTTGCTGTTAATTTTGTCAGTTGCCTTGCATATAATTTAACAGTTCTCTGACATCACTTTGATGACTTTTTGAAATCCTGCTACTTGTGCCATGATTCACAATTGACTTTGTACTTAATTTGCATTGTATTACTGGATCCTCATTGATTAGTGAAAGAATGACAAAAACATGGTGTTGGTTGCAAATGCATCTAAGTGGGGGGGGTGTTGGAGTGGTGGTTAATGTTTTTGTTTATTTTTTTGAAGTATAGTTGATTTACAATATTGCGTTAGTTTCAGGTGAAAAGCATAGTGATTCGGTTTGGTTTTGCAGATTATATTCCACTATAGATATTGGGTATAATTCCCTGTGCTATATATATAGTAAATCCTTGTTGCTTGTCTATTTATGTATAGTAGTTTGTATCTGTTAATCCCATACTCCTGCTTGTCCCTCTCCTCTTGTTTAATGTTTTAATGAATGATCTGTTCATTTGTGAATATATATGTGATATGTTTACTTTTACTTATACAGTTTATAATTGGATATTTTCATAATAAATAATAGGATAATGAAGATCCCTCTCCGCCATAAGGGTGATACTGAAGAAGGAGTGAGATAACTTTATTTTGTTGAGTATGAGGGTAGATAATAGACAATGTATCTATGAAAGCTAGACTACTTCTTTTTAAAGTGGATATTTGATATTATAATAAACTGAGTTTAAATTAAATGATACAGAAAATAAGGATTTAAAGATAAGGGCAAGATGTTATGACCTGGGTTTTGAAGAAAAACAAGTAACATTGTAGATTGAAGAAATAGTGCACATTAAGTTGCAATAATATGAAAAATACTACACCTTGTGTTCATTGGTGGAGTGTAAAGTGTAATTATGGAGGTCTTTGTATTTCATAGAAGGTCTGTATGTGTCTCATGTGTGGCTCAAAAGTCATATTTAGCTTTTCCCTGTAGTTTAGAAAAAATTCTGATAATCTGTTTACCAGACATTGCACTAGGTTTAGTGGCACAAAGATAAATAAAGACACAGCTCTTGTCTTCAGGAAATAAGCAGGGATGGGTAAGGCACATAAGCCAGTCATTTTAATCCTGTGTACAAAAACATGCTATGCTGGAGATCTGCACAGATCGCCAAGAGAGCACAGTGGTGGGTGCAGGGTGAAGATTAGGCAGTGATTCTGGAAGACAGGAGCTGTCATTAAAGACAAGGAGGAGTTAGCTAGGAGAGTGGAGGCAGGTGATTTAAGACAGCGAGTTTAGTGTGAAGAAAGCAGGGACAGTGGTAATGAACAGATTGGTTCATTGCTAATTACTAAAAGTAATGTGTTTCTGAACTTGAGTAGTAACTCTTGCCTTCAGAGTTGTGCATTTTAATCTGAATAGTTTTTAAATGATGAAACTAAAATATGTAACTTGGACAATTTTATCTTGCTCAGTAAATGAAAAAGTTAAATATGAGATAGTGTTCCAGCTTTTTTCTCATATCTTATTTGTTAGGATAAATTTACATTTACCAGTTTTACTTGTTTTAAGAGTACCTTCAATATTTTCTAACACATGTAGTTACTAGGGTCCAGGTGATCACTCCAGTCTTGAAATTAGCTTGTCACAACATCTCAGTCTTATGAGCAGAAGCAGTGGTTGTGTGTAAATTTGCTGTGTTTACCCTTCTGGTTACTTGATTTGGCAAATTCATATCTGAAGTTGTTACTTAGTCTTTGGTGCCACGTGGATAATATGTGGAATAATTATGTCTCCACAGGATGAATGCTATCAAGTAAGACAAGTTTTTGCTCAGAAGCTTCACAAAGGCCTTTCTCGATTACGGCTTCCACTTGAGTATATGGCAATCTGTGCACTTTGTGCAAAAGATCCCGTAAAAGAAAGAAGAGCCCATGCCAGGCAGTGTCTGGTAAAAAATATCAATGTGAGACGCGAGTATCTGAAGCAGCATGCAGCTGTTAGTGGTAAGCGTTTATGAAAATGAGAAGTGTACTTTTCCATCCTGCCAGTTTCAGTTTTATAGAATACAACATGATGTTACTGTTTATTTATTATATTCTAATTGGCCCTCATTAAATAAGAAGTTATTACTACTATTCAATAACAGCTTTTCCCCTTAGAAAGTCATTTTAAAAATACAAATTCAAGAGTATTTAAATATCAACCCTTATATCTTTATGTAACTGACTAAAAGGCCAAGGGAAATAAGCAGTGACGTTGGAGGTACTTTTAATGAAACAGTAAAATTTACATTTATATAGATTGCCTAAATACTATCTTTAAGTTTAAAAAACTTAAGTAGTAACTCTTGCCTTCAGAGTTGTGCATTTTAATCTGAATAGCTTTTAAATGATAAAACTAAAATATGTAACAGGTCTTCAGTCTTTTTTGGTTATCCTCACCTGTAACTGACATTAATATCAGGTGCTTGTGTGCCTTTTTAAACTACTCACTTTACACCACCCACGCTGTTAACTTTTGTGCCTCTCCAACTTTTATGACTTGTTTACAGCATTAGAATCCATTCAGTTATGCAAGTCAGAAATCAGAGGCATTCTTCATGCCTTCTTTCTTCCTTTCATCTGTCACTAAATCCTCTTAATTGTTCTAGTAGGTATCTTCAGTGTTTCTCAATTCTCCTAACCCTGCTATATTTTACTTGTATTATCGTATACACTCCTGACTAGCTCCCTGTTTATAAATGTTTCCCTGCCTCTGACCCACCTCCAGCTGTGCCACACCGCTATCAAAATTATCTTTCTAAAACAGATCACATCACTTCCTTGCTTGAAATACGTGTTGATACTTTATTGCTCATAGGATCAACTTGAAACTCATTAGCATGGCCTCTTATAGTTTACTCTCAGCCTGAGTTCTAAGCTTTCTCTCTAGCCACTCCCTACTATAAATTCTGTGTTCCTTGTACTCTGTATTATTTGAAATTTGTGCAGCCATCTTTTTCCTCTGTTGTCAGCTGTATCTGGAAAGTGCCTCCCCCTTCTGGCCAAACAAATAGACAAACAACAAAACCAGGGAGCATGATTTGCCCTTTTTCAATCCTTTAAAATAATTTTGGTGTCTCACCATTGGGACCCTGTTTCTCTGACTTCCTTCCTCACCTTGGGAAAAATGAGGGCTCTGGAGTCAAATCCCACCTCTGCTGTTTACTGGTTGTGTTATTTTCGCAGTCTGAGCCTTAGTTTCCTTATTTGTAAGATTTTATAATTTTACTCATTTCTTATGGTTGTTATGAGGATTAAAAAGTTATGTATATAAAGCACCTGGCATAACGCATGTTCTAAAGAAGTACTCAGTAGTTGCCAGCTATTTTTATTTTAGGGCACTGTCCACTTCAATAAGTACTCAATAAGTATAGCTGCTGTCCTATCTATGTTTGTGTGTGAGGTCTTTATCTAGTCATATTCATCTTTGTATTTAAAATAGTAAGCCCCAGTGAAAATAGTAGGCATGGAAAATAGTAAACACTCAGTAGATACTCGATAGACTTTAATTTGAATTTCACTGAATTTTGAACCCTGTTTCTTTTTTCCTTCTATACCTACCTTGAATGAATGATATTACACACAAACTATTCTCTTTGAGTTCAGTAACAGAAATAAAGAAAACTTGATGCCTTATAGACACACATGTATAATACATATTTTATATATATATATTATTATGCTCTAGGTTTTATTCTCCTTGAGTTCAGCAATAGAAATAAAACGTGATGCCTTATTGACACACATATATATATATAAAATGTATACTATATATATTATTATGCCCTAGGTTGAACATCTGATTTTAAGTTTTGAGGGTAGGAAATATAAAAGGAATTGTTCAGAATATGAATCCTGGTCTTTTGAGTAATCTTTATTAAAACTGGTTAGGATTACCATTTCTACCTCTAATGGACATGCTGATATCAATCAAAATATAAAAATATTTGAATTTAAAGTAAAAAGATGTTTCCTTGTTATTTAAAATGTCCTAGAATCAAAGTCTATTCCTTTATATCTGTTCTTCTGTTACAAATGGTATCAAATAGTATCAAGCTGTTCCACACTAAATTTTGGTACCACACTAAATTAAAGATTTACCAGTTTTTTCATTTTGCTCAGCAGCTTACCAAGGAGTGTTGAACATAGAGTTGCTAATACTAACAAGAAAAACAGATCTTATGTTTCTTAATCTTGAATATAGTTTGGGTCACTTTCCCCCATATCCATTGAAAATTAAAATTTTGTCTTTGTAGCCTCAGTACATGGTGCGTTTAGTAGACATTTCAATATTGAACATGATGGATGAATGAATAAACTGTTTGATTTATGGTGTACCTGCACACTAGACATTTCAATGTATTTTTCTTCTAGCCATATTGTAGTAAATTGTTGGGATGTAGTATTAGAGAGAAAGAGAATGAGTAAGATTTGGTTTTCTAACCTGGATATTTTTGTTTTGTTTCTTCTTCTTTTTTTTTTTTTATCTTTTTCAGAAAAATTACTGTCTCTTCTACCTGAGTATGTTGTTCCATATACAATTCACCTTTTGGCACATGACCCAGATTATGTCAAAGTACAGGATATTGAACAACTTAAAGATGTTAAAGAGTAAGACTTTTTCCATCCCATTTTCATACTTTTCTGAAAGTTTTTCCCCTTTCCTGCTGATAATGAAATCTCAATTATAATTAGTTTATTAAATTTATTTCATTTCTTAGGAGTTTAAGGGTTTTTACCTTATTTGTTCTCTTATTTTTCTTTTTTCATACCATCTCTTCATATTTCATTTCTTAACACAGTTTCCCAAAACAACTTAACATAATTACTTTCCAGTTTTTCTACCAGTCTGTCATTTCTTTTCTATTGAAACAATACATTAAATGTTTTCATTCCAGTTCTTATCTTTTCCTACTTTTGTCTGAAACACTGTATAGATTTTCATGTGGGGTGAACTAATACTTTCTTTTATTCACATGGTAAGCACATTTTCTTTGCAGTTACTTTCTTCCTCCATAAGGAAGAGAGGATGGTCTAATTTATAATGGGCCAAGCTGATAACCAGGAAACTGCTCCCACTTACTACTTCATTGATGATTCTCTAATTAAAGTTTGTGACAGTCAAAATTTATTCAAAGATTCTTGTTGAGAGGCTGAAAGAGACTATATATGCCTGGGTGTGTAGCAGGGGAATATAACAGTATTTAGAGAAGTCTTCATAATACCAGCAGAGTTCTTTAAATAAGATTTATCTAAAATTTAACAGTGAAAAAGCCCTGTTTATGTTATAATAAAGGATGACCTTTGTGGTTTTCAATAAATTAACTTACTATGTCTTTAACTTCCTATTAAAGGAAAATAGCTCTTGGTTTCTTAATTCATAGAAATATTTTATAGTTAAATATTTGAGATGCTTCAAGAGAATAAAATTAAATTACTGATAACTTTCTCATGGCAAGAGAAAAAGCTTTTACCATCTTTTTTGCCCACAGTTTCCATTAAAAAAAATAATAATAAGCAGTTAGTTCCCCCCAAATGAATTCTGTGTTAGAGTGATTATAACTAATGAAAACTTTTAGCCATCCTTCTTTCTCAGAGAGTTTTGACTTTTGAAATGGAAAAAATATTCTTCAGAATTGACAAAACATTTTTGGCTGTATTTATAAATTGCCCTAGTAGAGCCATGAGTGATCTTCATTTTGAGAGCCATTCTGGAAGAACTTACCCTATGTCTGAGATCTCAGAGGTTACTTTTTCTCTCTTCTAGAATGATACCTTGTTTCACATTTCTCCCTTCTTCTCCCATTTTTCTTCTCTGTGCTTTTTCTCTGTCCCATTCTGTCTGCATAGTACACAGAGACAAAGAACTTTCATTTTTTTTGTAATTAACTTTAAAATTGAGGTACTGGAGCTTTCTTTTTATTTTTCTCTCTTTAAGCAAAAACGGTATATGTAGTTGTCAGCCATGACTTTCCCCTCTAATTTATTGATGAAGATTCATAATTATTGAGTGTAAGGTAGTTAGATTTCTTTGCCAGTCAGGACTACAATCAGTCCTGAGTATTTGAGGCTTCACTTTATCTATGGCCCATTTATTCTTTAGCCAGTCTCCCTCCCTGTTATAGCCAGGGGTTACAATCACTTCATTCTTAACACCATTTCTGTTCTTTTTTAACCCGCCTCCCTAGGAAAATTAGTGAGACTTTGAGAAGGTGTCTTGTGAACTCACACCTGCATTGCTGACATGTTGTAATGTGTGTGTGACATATCTTTTTTTTCTCTGTTGATTTGTAGGTGTTTCTTTTTCATTTTTTCTGCTTCTGTAGTTTATTGTACTTATGTTTAAAATTATTATATCTGTTTTTAACAATGAAATTTTTCTTCTTTTTTTCTTGGTATTTTTTAGGTGTCTTTGGTTCGTTCTGGAAATATTAATGGCAAAGAATGAAAATAACAGCCATGCATTTATCAGAAAGATGGTAGAAAATATTAAACAAACAAAAGATGCTCAAGGACCAGATGATGCAAAAATGAATGAAGTGTGTAATTCTTTATAAATAATTGATTCCATGTCGATTTTAAGCATTTAACTATAGAGTATCAAACTTCTGTAGACAACATTAGTCTTTCCTTTTAGTAGTAAATAGTATTTTTATTAATAGTAATTAGACTTACTAATATAGAATTAGTAATAATACTGTTACTAATAAACTAATGAAAATAATAGTCATTGTAGCATTTTAACTTACACTGTTGTCCTGAAAACTCCATATTAAATGCATGTTGTAGAATTACTCCTAATTCACAGAATCTAGGATGCCATTAAGTATCTAATTTTTTTAAATACCATTGCAGAAACTGTATACTGTGTGTGATGTTGCCATGAATATCATCATGTCAAAAAGCACCACATACAGTTTGGAATCTCCTAAAGACCCAGTACTACCTGCTCGTTTTTTCACCCAACCTGACAAGGTAGTTGTTTTAGAATTTGTTTGTGTAAGTTGAAATAAGATGTATTCTTGGCACTAGGTTGTGGGAAGGTCAGGAAGGATCATTGTCAAGAGCTGGCCCACTACTAATGTCATGGAAAGATCGCCATGAGTGTTAATAATGTGGTTCAAGAGAAGAATATGGGCCAAACTATAGGACACAAGTAAGGTTCAGAGATGAATTAGGATGATCTATAGTGTTTGAATCCAGCATTTTATGCCAGTTTAGGAACACAGGCAAAAATGTGATCAAAGCTTGTAGATGTATGAGTTAATGGCCACTGATCCAGAATGGGAAGGAGAATGCTGGGAGTCTTAAGTTATAATCCCTTGATTGAGATTTGTAACTGGTATGAGGAAACAAGCAGAGAACTGACACTGGAATAGGCCCAAGATCTTGGGAACATTACAGGAATGTTCCCAAACCACTCGTGAAACTCATGTTTGGTATGATACAAAAAGATATTTTTTAGAATCTCTTAGAGGTTCATAGTGCATTTAAGCTTAGTAAGTTAGCTGAGAGTAAGGGAACCACCACTACTTTTTTTTTCTTTCCAAATAGCAAAATACCAGTTAAGGTCCTACCAGTATCTAGAGATAAGAACTCAGACCTGTAGATTCACCCAATAGCTAGCTAAAAGGGACTGTCTGCTTTTAAGCATTCACCTTGGTATTTTTAAGGTAAGGGGACTGTGTGTGGCCTCTTCCCTGGAGAGTATTATTACGTAAGCCTGTACTTGCTGGTGTGCTCTTAGCACTCTAGCATGTTAGAGCTCAAATATGTTGTGTTAATACTGGAGTTAGTACGAGGTTAGTTTAAGTTTATTAAAGCATTTTAAATCAGTGACTGAAATTTTGAGTTTCAACTGATTATTTAGTTTAAATAAATATGTATCATAGATACAGTGTTTCAATTTTCACTGACTGTGTCCTTCTACTTTGCTTGTAGAACTTCAGTAACACCAAAAATTATCTGCCTCCAGAAATGAAATCATTTTTCACTCCTGGAAAAGTATGTTTTGAAATTGTTTTAATTTTTATGTAGTAGTTTATTTTAGTGTGATTATTGGCATAATTGTGTTATTTTGTATTTCTTTAAAAATTGATGTATCAAAAGAAAGTATAAGTATTAGGTATCTTCCATTTACTAGTAAGAAATAGTTATATTTACTGTCTAGATGCAATCTGCAATACAGAACTTATTTTTTACCTTCTGATAAAGCCCTGGAGATGTTGATCCTTAAATATCTATCCTTTATATTAAGATAAAAATATTAAACTAAAAAGACATTTTCTTAGTTCCTTCTGTAGCAAGAGCCTAATTATCTATTTTCATTGTTGACTATGCATTTAAGTTGTGTCACTTTCTGTGTAAGTCTTTGCCTCCAAATAACTAAGAAACTTAAATTTATGCTTGCTACATATTTGTTCAAGTGATACTCAGTTTATTATAATCCTTGCTTTGCTCAAGGATAGGCACTTTTTCGTGATTTGTACATTTAAACACTTTGGCAGATGTTATTTATGGTTCTTTACATCTATTTTCTTTTGGCTGTAATCAAATAGAGATTTGCGTTTTTCATTTCAGCCTAAAACAACCAATGTTCTAGGAGCTGTTAATAAGCCGCTTTCATCAGCAGGCAAACAATCGCAGACAAAATCATCACGAATGGAAACTGTAAGCAATGCAAGCAGTAGTTCAAATCCAAGCTCTCCTGGGAGAATAAAAGGGAGGTAAGTACATAAGAAATATCATGCTTTAAATTTAAGAATTCCAAAAAAGCTGTGAGATGTAAAATAACATAACCCAAAACATGAAATGTCAGTGAATGGAAATCAGTGCATATCTGCACTTTCCCATGTAATACTGGTAGCCGTTTACAAGTTAAACGTATTTGCTTGCTCATTTCCGATAGGTACTCCATCTTAGCCTTTCATATTTTAGGTCATTGGGGTAATCTGTGTTGTAGACATACAAGCTGGTTTCCAACCTCAATGTCTAGTGATTATAATCCTTTAAATTATGATCCATCCATACAATGGAATATAGTCATTAAAAAAGTGATGAGTATGAACTAACACGAAGAGTTTCCACATACATTATTGAATGAAAAAGACAAAGAATAGAACACTGTTAAAGTATTTTTGAGTTTTTAAAAAGGGTTCTTATTTACTTTTGCTTGTATATGTGTGGAAAGTCTTTGGAAGAACACAGCATCTTAATAGTGTCTGTGGCAATCTAGTGTAGGCAGGAGATGATTTTATAGACTGGTATGGTTTGAATTCCTCTTTGCCATGTAGATGTGTATAAAGTTTTTTGTTTAAAAAGTAATTTTTGAATGAACTTATGCTATACAGGAGTGTTTTTTTTCTCTTTTAAGAAAGAAAAAAGGAAAATAATTTAAACTTTAACTAGTTTAGCATAGAGCTTAGTATACCATTTGTTAGCAGCAGAGCCTTGTAAAGGGCTTAACTGCCACCATTTATTGATTTTGCTAAGTTATTATGAAAGATTATGCTGTCTTTTGCATTATGTATAACCAGTCAGTAAAGAAGGGAGGAGATATTCTAAAGTGTCTTATCCCATTTCTCTGTGATGAATAAATTGTTAAGTGATATATAGTATAAAAGAAATAGAACAAAAATTACACCTATAACTCTTGTTCTAAATTCCTATTTTAATACATATTAGTGATTAATAGCTAAATGACACCTTCACATCTGTCATTTGGACATTTTTCTGGTGGATGGCCTCTTACTTAACATGACCAAATACATTTCCAGCAACTCATTTCCTAAATTATTGTTTTTTCTCCTTGAATACCTGGTTATAATCAAAGATGGTCTAATTTACCCATCTAGGCTAAGAGCCTCAAAATTGTCTTTGATTCTGCCCTTGTGCTAAGTTTTGCCAATTATTTTCTCTACAATGTTTAATACTTCTCTTTTTGATTATCATCATTTCATTCATTCCCTTTCTTTAACTGTTTTGTAGTATTTGGCTTTTTCCCTTCGTTATTCCTCTGGCTGCATTACATCACTGCTAGATAATCTTTTTAAAATACTACTCTTTTCAGGTTATTCCATTACTCAGAAATCTTAATTGGCTTCTCTTGTTTGCTTTCAAGACAGTTATATGGTTTTACCCTATCCTCATCTCCCACTGTTATCCAAAACATGAATTGTCCCTGCTATACTTTTTCAGGATACTTTTGGTTAAACTTTCAATCTTTGACTAATCAATTTTGTGCCTGCCCCCCCCCCCCGCCCAAATCCCATCAGTTCACCAGGACTCTGTCTAAGGGAATGAGCAAGGCATGTTTGAGAGATCAGTTTGGTTGGAGAGAAGGAATGAGAGAATAATGGTTGGGGATACTCTTGAGCGGTAGCCAGATTTTGTTTGGGCTTTGTGGATAACGTAGGGCATTTGGATTTGATTTTAAGTAAAACTGAAAGATATTGTGGAGTCTAGTGATCTAATGTGTGTTTTTAAAAGATTGCCCTAAGCTAGAACTGAGGTAGAAAAACCAGTTGGGAGTCAGCTAGTAGTAATCTAGGGAAGGGATGAAAGGGAGGAAGATGGGAAATAGCCAAATGGTGCTAAATATGATAGAATAAAATTGATAACTTGTGAAAATAAGGTTTCCTCATAAGGTTATAAAGCTATACTAGGGAGCAGGAAAAACTTTTAAGGTTATGTGATTTTAATAACAATTACAAATATCTGTATTAAAAGGCTTGATAGTTCTGAAATGGATCACAGTGAAAATGAAGATTACACAATGTCTTCACCTTTGCCAGGAAAAAAAAGTGACAAGAGAGACGACTCTGATCTTGTAAGGGTGAGATATTTGGTTTGTTTTTTAAATAGTTATAATAATAATAATTTTACATTGAAACCAGTTAACATTACTCTGAAGTTTGACATCTGATTTTACTTTAATGATTTTAATCACAAATTGGCATTTATAATTATCCTCTATTGTGTAATTGAAGTATATTTGAATCTCTTGAGTTTATTGTCATTCTAATAAGCAGTCTTTATTCTTTAGGTCTTTGGAATCAAAATGTCACTTCCATATTCACAGCTGCTTGGTTTTTGTGTGTTTTTTTTTTCCACACAATAAATTTAGACTTAGCCATAGAAAAGGAGAATAGAATGAGGATCCTAAAGTTTCCTCCATTTTAGTTGATTTCTTGAGCCTATAGTTACTAAATAAGCTTCCAATAAAGGTAGGAAATGCTACAGTTTTCATAAAGCCCTTGTTTAGTTTTTAATCTTAATAGCAATGGTAACTTGTATGATAGACATAATTTGTAAATGTCACTTGAAGACAAATTTGACAGTTTTAGTACAGATACAGAATACAGTGAGCATTCTAACACAACCTGATGGCATTAATAATTGGGCATATTTTGATTTTCTAGGTTAGGTCTAAACATTTCTTAAATAACCCATTAGGCTCCCTGAATCAATTTCTTTGTTTAAAATGTGGGTGTTTAGCTGGTAAGATTTATCAGAATAAATGTATTAGCCTAAATAAACTGTTGTTGCTGTTGTTTTATTGTTGTTATAAAGGTGAATATTTCTGATTAAGGATTACCATAATAATAAAAGTTACTGTGTTTTAACCTACTCAGCTAATAGAGGCAAAAGTTATTAGTAATCACTTTTGCTTTCTCCAAAACATTACTTGCCCTTATGTTTTCCACCGTCCCAATGTTACATATCCCAAGAAGTATGAATTACTTTCAGTTGATTCCATGTTTCTCCAGTAACTTATTTAAACCAGATTTTTTTCTTTCCACATAAAAAATTATAATTCTGAAATTCTTACTAAATCCTAACTGTACAATAAATTCTGATTTGTATTGGCTGTTTAAAGATGTTACCCAAGCAGCATTAAAAATTAATAACTTAGCCAGAAAGGAATCATGTTACCTAGATTTATAGAAGAGAATCTTTGAATTGAAAAAGGTAATTATGTCTTCTAGTCCTACTTCTCACTTAGTGCAGAAATTCCTTCATTATCATTTTTGAGAATTGGTCATCATGTGCTTAAAAATGCCTTAAGTGGAGAGCTTATAATTTCTGTCATTTGTTGGAAGCCTCTACTAGGCTACCCACACCCACATACCGCCCCTTCCTTCTCCCCCCCAAAATTAGGAAACATGGTTTTGATTAATTCTTAATGTTTTGTTATCCTGTAAATTTCATATCTAGTGCAACCTTTTAGAGCATTGCAGAATAATAAAATCCCTATTTTTTTATAGAACAGTTTTGAATTTCTGAGCTTTTGAGATTTATTTGTATAATTAATGAAGGCCTTTGGCTGTCTTTTGTGTAACATTACATGCATTTTCAGAAAACCCTTATAAGTAAGCTAGTTTCAGCTAAAATAATCTTAAAGAGGTGAGCATTGTGAAACAGAATTTCAGTTTAAAGACCAATAGGTTATGGTGAAAGAGTAACACTTCACATAGAAATTTCATTGCAGAGGGATTATCCTTCACATATATTTATATTGAAATGTTTAGTTTTACAAATAACATATTTTCCCCATTTCCTGCTCCCAACCTCAGTTTTATACTTCCTCTGTTCTTAAAACAATACAGTGCAAAATGAAAAATTAGAGAATGTAATGCTTTAGGAAACTGGATTATTTTATGGTATTCTCATGAAAGCAAACACTGGATTTCTTGTTTTTCACCAGCCTTTCCAGAGCATAAAGGAATTCAGCTGCTTTTTCTTACCTTTGGACACCAAAATGAATTGTAATGTTTAAAATTGGAAGGTTTAGTTTTAATTTAATATTTCTCTTCCCATCTCTGAGTAATAACAGTAATTTTTAATTTATGCACAAAACTTTAGATAAATCCTAACAAATTAAAAACCAGTCATTTATAGGTCTTTTTTTCCCCCTGAGATGGAAGGATAATTTAATGCTAAAAAAAAAACCCTTCTAATATAGCACATCAGTATCCCAAATAAAAATACTAACAAAATAATCTCAGACTGTGCTAAGCAGACATAGTAAAATTTAAAATTCATTCTTGACAAATATAAACTCTTAATAAACTAATACTAGAATGATAATTCCTTAACATGCTAAAAATTTTATCTGTTTAAATCAGTAGTCAATGATTTAGCCAAAATTACTCTTCTTAAAGGCAAAATACTTAAAACATTAAAAATCAGGAGCAAAAGATGCAAACTGTTGTTACCAATCTTATTTAAAATTGTTCTAGAATATTTGAGCAATTCTGGAGGACGTGAAATAGGAGTCAAAAGTATGACAGTAAAAAAGAAGAGGCAAATTTATTTTTATTTTGGTACTCATAAAAAATTTGGGAAACAACTGAAAAACTAAGAATTTAGCATCATAGGCATATGTATGTATGTGTGTAACTAACTTTTACTCTGGTACTTCTACTTTGTATCAGGTATACACTTAGGGGAAAGAGGATTTACTCCAACACAATAACCACTGCAACAATGAAATTAGTTAGATTGATCTAAACATAACCTTAAACAGAAGTAGGGGGAACCTATGTGGAGAAAATTTCAAAACTGAGAAACATAGACGAGAGAGGACGCACCATATTGCTTCACGAGAAAAATGAATAAAAAAGATGACAGTTCTTTCTAAATTAATACATCATTGTAAAATTCCAGTGTGATTTTAAGTCCGTGTGGAAGAATAAATGGATGCAAAAGAGAAAAGTAATAGTGATAAGATCAGCCCTACTAGACACAGACACACTTAGTTATAATTAGTAAAACGTGATGCTGTTACGGTAGCCCCGGAACAACATTTCTTAAAAGCTATTACAGAACGAAGTGTTACAAATCAGTGATTTTGAAATGTTGGTTGTCTCTGGTGGTGGGAGTAGGAAAAACAGTTTAGAACCTCATCTCACATCCTATTCTAAAATAAGATACAATAATGTCTTAGTCTGCTCAGACTCGTATAACAAAATACCATAGACTGGGAGGTTTAAACAACACGAATTAATTTTCTCACATTTCTGGAGGTTGGGAAGTCCATGATCTTAGTCCTGGTCAATTCAGTTCCTGGTGAGAGCTCTCTTCCTCTTTGCAGATGGCCACCTTCTTACTGTGTTCTTACGTTGTAGACAGAAAGGTCTCTCTCTGGTGTCTCTTTTCATGACACTAATCCCATCATGAGGGCCTCACCCTCATGATCTTTCAACTGAATTAAGTCCCAAAGGCCCATCTGCAAACATTGTCATATTAGGGGTTATACAATTTAGTTCATAACAAGTAGGAAATAAAATTTAAACATGCACAGAAGTGTAGAATAATGTAGTTTAAAACTCAGACTTTAATAAACAAATGGACATAGGGCAGAATACCAGGGATATAATCAGGCAGTTCACAGACAAGAAACACAAATGACTGAACCTATAAAAGAATTACAGGTAATTTTGGTTGTTTTTTCCACTGATATTTTTCCTCCATTTTTCAGTTTTATTAGGTAAATTGATACAGTTTGCATATACACAATATATTGCACATATTTTTAAAATTTACTTATATGTACTATTCATTGTTTCTAAGAACAGTTTAGAGCCTTAGCTTTTTAAACTTAAATTGTTATCAAAGGAATAAAGCCAACCACAAAATAAGAATCAACAGAATGTAGTAATCCAATCATAAAGGACAGTCAAATGTGCTTACACATATTCAGGAAATCAGTCATCTAAGTTATAAATAATAAATAGTTCATTTGTGTCTTTTTTTTTTTATTCTACATATAAGTGGTATCATATGGCATTTTTCTCTTCCTGGCTCTGCTGATTTTTGAGAATGTAAATTGGTACAAATTTTTTGGAAATTTAGTACTGCAAACATGTATTTATGTGTTTTATACACATGTGTATACATATAGAGAGCCTTATAAATGTTCATACATCCTATTCTTGGTTTCTTTGAAGAATTTTCTCAGTCTCTATCTGCTAGTCAATGCATAAATTCTGTGAATGTAGATGGGTTTTATTTTATATTTGAAAGTCACTGATTTAAAAAATTTTTTGTTGTTATTGTATCTGAAAAGCATATCTTTGATTCAGAAGTGTTTTCAAAATTTTTAGTAAATAATGAATGTTTAACTTTTGTAAACAGCCTCCATTTGTAAAACAAAAATGGTTCTTTTATGATGTGTATGCATGGTACATATCATAGTTGATATTTTATGTCTTATTATACACTGTGTGGTAAAATTAGAATTACTTAAATTTACTATCAAAACAGATCCATTATACTGTCATATAGTTTCCTTATTCAAGCATTGGCTTTAGGGTGTTCTTTTTTGTGAAATAGCTCTTCACTTTAAATATATATATGCATGTATATAATATAATCAAATATTCACTTGAGAGTTTTCCATTTGAAACTGTCTAGGTTGAGTAAGAATAAAAATTTACCCTCTTACCCCAGATAATTTTTTTAAATTAAAAAACTGTTAATGAAAGGAAGTAAGTAGTTACAGTTCTGATGCACTTCAAAACTTTAAACCTTATTTAGGTATATTTTTATGACTGAAGTGGTTATCAGATTTTTAAAATTTACTTTATTTTATTTACTTATTTAATTTATTTAGTTATTTTTTAAAATCGAAGTGTAGTCAATTTATAATGTTGTGTTTCTGGTGTACAGCATAGTGATTCAGTTATACGTATTTTTGTTTGTTCTTAAAAATATGCATAGTAACAGTGCATACTGTTTTATATTTGAAATGGTGACTTTTATTCTTAGTCTGAATTGGACAAGCCTAGAAGCCGGAAGAAAACACCTGTAACAGATTCAGAAGAGAAATTAGGCATGGATGACCTGACTAAGTTGGTCCAGGAACAGAAACCTAAAGGCAGTCAGCGTGGACGGAAGAGAGGCCATACGGCTTCAGAATCAGATGAACAGCAGTGGCCTGAGGAAAAGAGGCTTAAAGAAGATATTTTAGAAAATGAGGATGAACAGAATAGTCCACCAAAAAAAGGTAAAAGAGGACGGCCACCAAAACCTCTTGGTGGAGGTACACCCAAAGAGGAGCCAACAATGAAAACTTCTAAAAAAGGAAGCAAAAAAAAATCGGGACCATCAGCAGTGGAAGAAGAGGAAGAAGAAGAAAGACAAAGTGGAAACACAGAGCAGAAGTCAAAAAGCAGACAGCACCGAACTTCAAGGAGAGCACAACAGAGGTGAGTATGTGTAACTCTAAACTGCATATATTTAGTCATTATATTGTAAATCATAATTTGATACTATCCACATTTGGGTCTTCCCCAAAGCAGAGCAGAATCTCCTGAAACTAGTGCAGTTGAATCCACACAATCCACCCCACAGAAAGGACGAGGAAGACCATCAAAAACGCCATCACCATCCCAACCCAAAAAAAATGTGTAAGTTGTAAATAATATTAAATTTCAAACCAGTTTCAAATTAATTTGCAAAAGTTCATAAATTTCTAACTATACATAGGGCTGTATTTAAATCCTGTATATTTAGCCCAATTATACTAAGTAAGATAAAATTTTTATAAACTTACCTGGGTGATTGATAGTCCATTCAACCCTCTGGTAACATCTGTACATTTTTACAGGTTTTAGGCAAATCTTTATAAATGAACCCCAGAGTTTATTATTTCCAGTACAGACTTTTTGGTACTTGAAGAGACTATAGGTATTTTAAAATAATCGTGGCATAATGACAGCGTTGCCTTGTGATTCTATAGTACAGTTATTCCTCATGTCTCTTCTCAGCACCTTTAAAAAATAGCTTTTACACTTTTGCTTTCATTCTTTGAACTGTGTAGGAAAGTAACAGGCATCACTTTTCTTAAATTACATCCATAGAAATTATCATATGCTGATCTCAAGTTTTTGATGTCTTGATTTTGTTTTCAAATTAAATTAACACATCTGTATCTACATGTAGATGGTTTTGGATGTTCACACAAGTACATGTTTATAAGAGTTACAAGAACAAATCTGTATCCAAAATTATTAAAGTCATAGGAGCATCAGTGCTCTAATTTGTAAATTTGGCACATTTTTCTCCTCAGTTATTTAAGTGGAAATAGAATAGCATGTCTTCTATTAGTCAGAAATTCTGCAGTTTTTGTGAAAGTAAATCCCAGACAGCAGTGGCTTGACTGTTCAGAGTTGCCAACACAACCTTGGTTAAATACTTAGTTATCTTAGACGTTTTTCCTGTTCCTGTGTATTCCACAGGAAGAGGAAAGGTTACCTGTATGTCTAGTCAGTAGTTCATGCCTCCCTCCATTTAATTTTTCCCTCAGGTAAAAAATAAAGGTAAGTACATTTTTGTGGCAGCTTTATAAATGTGGTTGTATTCAACCATGGAAAAAACCACTGCTTTTGTTTTTATTTTCAAAAAATTCTTAAGGAATCTTACATTTCCATGATTAATTTTATAGTAAGAAAGCAACAAGGTAAATATCTTTCATGCTTGTAACTTCAACTTGTTTATATGTAGGCATGATAAAATTAAGGCCTTAGCTGATCATCTTGTTATCCTAAAATCACCCAAGTCCTCACATGAGTGATGCAAACCAAGCAAGTACTTCATCTAAAAAAAAATACAGAAATAGATTCTGTATTCTATCTTAACAGTCTAACTTCCTTTCACTGGGAAGCCCTTTTTTAGAAGGAGTGTAATAACGTATGTTATGATTTGCCTGTTTTCTTTTTCTGACTTCAGTGGAAAGATTGTATTATTTTCCATGTAATTCTTTCTTTTTCTGTTAATTCTGGAAAGCTGAATCAAGTAAAAAAAATTATGTAGCTTGAGCATGAATTACACAGTATGTATCTTGGATTGTTTATAGAAGTGATAAATAAATTCTTAATTAAAAAAATAAATGTCAAGAGATATGCATTTGATTAAATGGTGGTATCTGTTATGTTTTTTTGAGTTCCTTCTGTTTCAGAGTGTACTAGGTGCTACTTGGGAATATAGTGGTACAAAACAGGCATGCTCCTTATCCTTGTGGAACTTATCTAAATGGGAATGTAGTCATTAAATAATCACACATAAATATGAAATTACAAATTTTGGCATGTGTCCTGAAGGATGAAGTTAGTGTGCTGTAAGAGTACGTAATGAGAGGGAGGGCTGGGGAATTGGAAGTTTTCTCTTTAGAAAGTGACCAGTTGATTCCTTGACAGTAGTAGGAGTTAGACCAATAGAGAGCAGGGAGAGGAGCATTTCAGGTGGAGGGAACACTGTATTGGAAGGTTGTGAGATGGGAAAAATCTTGGCAAATTCGGAGAACCGAAGGAAGGCAAGGATTTTGCTGTCTCATAGTTGTGGGGAATTCGGGAATGGAAAGAAATGAGAATGAACAGGTAGGCAAAGCCTGTTTGCAAGGCCTCATATTAAGGTTTAGAGAATTACTATCAGTACAGTAGAGGGCTTTCTGTGGGTGGGCAGGTTAGTGGCATCAACCATTTTTACCTTTTTAAAAGATTATGTTGTAGAGAGAAAAGGCAAGAGATAAGAATGGTTTGGAAATATATAGGAATGATGGGGATGGAGAGAAGTGAATGGATTTGAAATTTCTTTATAAGCAGAATCTTAGGACCATAGAGAGTTGTACACTATTAAGAAAGATGTGAAATTTTCTGCTTTGAGCAACTCAGTAGATAAAGATACCTTTTACTGAGTTGGGAAATATAAAAAGAACAGTAGACTTTGGGTTATGTTTTAAAATCCTTTATGGTATTAGTCTCAGTCACACTCTTGTTATTTGGTAAGTCTTTTTATATGTAAGATTCTAGGATTAAACACATACTTTAAGGGTCTAGAATATAAGAAAATATTGCTTATCTTACAAGGTAATTGAGGATAAAAATGATAAATGAGAGTTCATGAAATACTTAAAGCATTTCCGCTAATGAAGTAACCTACCAGTTAAAGTCAGAATGTTCATTTTATTTTACATGTGTTTTACTCTAGCCGTGTAGGACGCTCCAAACAAGCAGCTACTAAAGAAAATGATTCAAGTGAAGAAGTAGATGTGTTTCAGGGTAGCTCTCCTGTCAATGATGATAACCCACAGGAAGAAACAGAGGAAGAGGAAGTTTCTACAGTAAATGTATGTGTTCATGAAAGTGCTGTGTGTGATCATATGAAATATAAAATTAGAGTTGGAAAACATTTAGTCAGATCTATTTAGCACTTGCTGTTACTTAGTAATTCCAGATGTTTATATCATTTTCTTCATTAGTTTGTAGTTTTGTTTCATCTGCCAGCTTAGATAATGGAGAAACCATGCTTTATGAAAACCTGAAACCAAGTGGGAATAATAGATGTAACCTAGTGAAAGTGTAAAAGTCCAGTTCAAGACCGGATGTAGAGAAGAACAATAGCAGTCTCATGTTGACACCTCAGGCATTTAAGTTCTACCTTGATCTGAGAGCTCTGGTATCTGTTACGTATGCTGTTGTTTATGTTTCATAAGTTTTTGTTTGAGTTTCCCCCTAGAAACTAACAGTCAATCGTATATAATCATGTCTTTGACTAAAATTAGCCTTTGGAATTCATAAAATTGGTAATAAACACTTCTTTTACAAAAGGAGGAACGTGATACTTCCTGAGACACTTTTTTGTTTTGTGTTAAAGTAATGAATAGCTTTGCCAGTTACATCTCAGATTTATCTCTTTGGGAGAAATGTAATAAACACGTTTAAGTGAGAGCTGTTGTCATGATATTAGTGCTGAATCTTTGGATCAGCTCAGCCAGCCATCTTTGTTTGAGAACCTGGGTTCTGTGTTCAAGTTCCAGAGTCGATCCCTGCCCCTGGTCCTGTGTAATATAATTAGTACTTCTGTCTGCATCAGGATTCATTTATGTGAATGAGTTAATAAGACCGCAGAAAAATATGTTCAATTGTGGTCTCAAACTACTAGTTGGGCTTGTTTTTAAAACAGTTTTGGGGGAAAGTAAAAATAAGGCTGAAGAGTCCATAGCAATTGATGTGGTCATCAGATTTTTTAAAAAACACTATAAATTAATTAAAGTCCTGTTCTGTTTATTTTCCTCTTGTTAATACTGATTTTCTTTGAAATAGTTTTATGCTTTCCTTAGTGCTTGCCAGTAAATAGTAATATGTCTGAATTTCAGATTATTTATATGTGTTTGATACTTGTTAGGATCCAAATATTTTCTGAGAAAAACAGCTGTAATCCTAAATTCATAAGTATCAAATGTTTCCTTTTACTACAGAAACATAGGTTAAAAAGGAGATATTTGCAGTTGTCCTTCTTGCTGTTGAATTGACTTGTGTTCATTTCTCTTAAAAATTATTGAATAGAAAAGTAAAATAGTTTTCTCTTTTGCTATCCTGGGAAAGGCTATTTATGGGCATTCAAATAGTGTATAGGTCTAAATATGTGATAACCAAAGCAGAAAGTTAACATAGTAGAAATGTTTTAAAGAAAAAAAGCAAAGAAAATCAGAAACTTGTAAGAATAGTGATTGGTTAAGAATAATAATAATTACTGCTGTGTGTAATTAATGCATTTTAATTAAGCATCTGGTGGTATTTCTTTCAAGGTGCGGCGGCGAAGTTCTAAAAGAGAAAGGCGGTGAACAAATGTCTTTAATAACTTTCTGTGAGAAAGCTTTGAAAAAATTTTTTTGTCAAGCTTCAGGCTGAGTAAAGCCTTTGATGCACAAAATGGGACTGCTGAAGAGTGGACAGTTGGACCTTACTCTGATGACCTTATGTATTTGTGGTCACACGCTTTAGCCATGCGCATGGTGATAACATTGACTATGGAGTCTTGTGAAAAAGTGTAATGTGCGATGGCTCTGTAGACACAAACTAAAGAAGAATCTTGTAAATATATTTTTTCTTTCTTTTTCTTTCTTTCTTTCTTTCTTTCTTTCTTTTTTT